AAAAAGGCACCGAAATCAAAATATAAAAAAAAACCCACGAAAAAAAAAGACACAACAAAAACATTTACACGAAAAACGAAGTAAAAGGTAATCTCTCTTCCTCCTCCCCCCCCCCCCCTCCCCCGTCCAAACCCAAACTAACATCACTAAAAGCACCTGTCTAGATACTAAACGCCAGACTTCTAAATTTAAAAACCCGCCGAACACAGCTTCTAAAACGATCGTTAAGTTTCTATTTCAGGCTTTTTGATAGTGCTGGGCGGCCAGGTTCCCGACTATTGAAAGCTAGGAATCGTAGGAATCGACTCCGAACCCAATTACTTACTTTCTAAGGATGTGATTTTTTTCCGGTGGTTACCTGGTTGGCTCCGAACATCTTCAGGATTTAGGATAACCTTGATTTCGGAACACTACAAAGCATCAATTTTTATATTTGAAAAATAAATTCTAAAAGAAAAGAAGAAAATTTTAAAGATTATAGTAACTGGTAACCGTTGGTTTATGTAAAAAGGAGTCGGAACTTTTCTTCCGTAGCATTTATCGTAGGAATCGGTTCCAGAATTGATTCCTCGCCCAGCTCTACTTTTTGACATTGCAAAGTACAGGTTTGGGGAGCTGTGGCGATTTATAAACTTCGAGAGGCCCCCCACTAACGTTTCAGATAACACTTGTTTGCTGAAACGATATAAAAACTGTCCATCGAAGCCTCGAAATTTATGAACACCGATTAATAACTTATTTCGTATCAGGTGTCTATCTAAAATGTTCATTTTATGTCCACTGTTAAGATGGTCAATTCGGGTCAACTAACTATCGCAACCTCGAAATCTATGACCGTCGATTAGTAGGTCATTTCGGATCAACAGTCTATCGAAGCCTCGAATTTTATGTCCATCGAGTAAGTCATTTTAGTTCAACTGTCTATCGAGGCTTCGAATTTTATGACCATCGATTGATAAGTCCTTTCGGATCAAGTATCTTGCAAAGCCTCAAAATTTATGATCACCGATTCGCAAGTAATTTTAGATCAGCAGCAGTTGAGATTCTCGTGTTGGTATTTATGCAGCGACAGTTTGAACTTTTTTTCCTGTAAAAGTTTACTTCTTGATCTTGGAATTCTAAAACCCTTCTATATGACTAAGAATATAGGACAATTGCTAAAGACAGCCACAGCAGAATAAATGCAAAAGAAATGCGATTTCTTAGGAGATTGCGGACATAAAAATTTCTCCATCATATTTAATAGGTGTAACAAACAATGACAAATACGAATTTGTCTTATTTTTTTTTCAATATGGACTGGTTAGAATATTATAAAATAACATAATTTTCAATATAGTTATCAAAGTAACGCAAAGAATTATTAGCTAGAGGGCATAACCGAATCACTTGAAAACAACAGCTCCACCAGAACCAACAAAACCAGAATCTATAACAATAGCACCACCATGAATATCACTTCCACAAACAACAACAACAACAACAACAACAACAACAACAACAACAACAACAACAACAACAACAATAATAACAACATTAAAGGAGGGGGTACACCTGAAGGCTATCTCGCTTGTTAGTGGACCGATTTTTACCACATTTCACACATATAACAAGCATAGTAAGAAGTCTTAAAATTCGCAATCAAATTTGAGAAGAAAATTTCATTTCCATGGATACGGCAGCCATATTGGATTTTGTTGACATGTCTTACGTAATGAATACTGCACTTACTGCTTATGGAAATTGAGTGTTTTCTTGCATGCGTGTTTACAAACATTAGATCTAAAAATTTGTTTATCCTTATTTTCTTAAACGAATTATGAAAATGTTCATGTATTTTTTCCTTAGGTTGTATTCAAGTCTACAACAAACAAAAAAACCCCGTGAAAATCCACACTCAAAACACCACCAACAAAAATCAATTCCATATATCAAATATTCAACAGAACTTTTTTAGTATTACATCTTGTCTTCATTCTGTGCAAATTTCATGAAGACTGGATGAAAAATGGTGGAGTTATTATAAAAAAGTATAGAAAAAAGTCGCGTTTTGAGAAAACTGCCGATAAAGAAAAATAAAATATTGACTTTATGAGGAAATGGTGGTGACAAACATGCCCGGTATGGGAAGAAATGAGGTTTTTGGGGCTTCTTATGCAATGAAATAGTTGTAGGAGAGGCTGAGGAAGCTAAAAATGCCTACAACTCAAATTCCATAATTTTGAGCGGAATCGGGACTTTGCCCCCCCCCCCCCCCTTTAACAACAAAAAGCAGCAACAAAAACAATAACAGCAACGGTGCCAACATCTTCAGCAATGATAACAAAAAATAATTACAGCAACAGCAACAACAACAGCACACACACACACACACACACACACACGTAAACAAACACACACACACACACACACACACAAACACACACACACACAAAATACACACAAAACACACACACACATACACACACAAAACCACACATGCAAACACACACAAACACAAGCCCAAAACAGAAACACACACAAACACGCATACACACAAA